TGATTGTTAGACAGTTCGCAAAATTTAGCATTTTTAAAGTTTCCAAATAAATAGTTACCTACCTAAATAACCTTGCATTCAGATTTTAGAAAACATTATAAAATACGGAACTGTGCGGAATTGACCAATCAAAGTGCGTCCGACTACTGGCAAGTACCTGGCCGACCACTAGAAAACAGTGTCCGACTACAGGCAAAATGGTACATTTTTAATTTAAAAAATAAATAAAAATTAGCAGTAGTTTTACAAAACAAGCTGTTATGTTTAATCGGAGGCCAGATAGTCAAATAATCCATTGCATACGGTTTTACTTTTATTATCCAATTATCGAAAATATAATTAAATCTTAAAGTAAAGTTTTGTTCTAACTGTCCGACCACTGGCTCATCTACCCTACCCATCTTTTATGACATGAAATAGTGTATCAAGACATAAAAACATTTAGAAATAATAAAAGAAAAAACTAACATTCAAAAAGGGAGAAAATAATAAGCCATCTACCTAATTTTAATTTCCCTGTGGAGCGGGTGGATAGAATGGCTTAATCCGGGCATTTACCATCGGGATCAGTGTTGCCAGAATATATTTTTGTAATGTACCAGATTTATCTAAAAAATGTACCAGATTTCATAAAAATGTACTAGATTCTATAAAATTACCAGATTTTTCTAATTATGAGGTATGGTCATTAAAGAGCAAAAAAAGGTTTATAGAGAACACGAACACAATAATTTTAAACAATATTTTATCTCTCGACAAATTTTTGACACTATTTTATCTCTCGAGCAGTTTTTGAATAAGATTTTAATACCTTTTAATACTCTTTTATCTCTCGATAAATTTCTAACAATATTCTATCTCTTGAGCAATTTTTAACAACTTTTTTTATCCCTCGAGCAATGTTTGTACAATATTTCTTGTACAATTTTTAACATTATTTAATCACTCGAGCAATTTTTAACAGCCTTTTTTTTACCTTTCAAGCTATTTTTGAAAAATATTTGACCTCGTGCAATTTTTGAGCAAAATTTTAACAATTTCTAACACTATTTTATCTCTCGAGCAATTTTTGAAAAAGATTTTAATACCTCTTGGTATTATTTTATCTCTCTTTAAATCTTTTTTATCTCTTAAGCTATTTTTAAAAAATATTTTATCTCTCGATAAATTTCTGACAGTATTCTATCTCTCGAGCAATTTTTAACAACTTTTTTTTATCCTTCGAGCAATGTTTCTACAATATTTCTTGTACAATTTTTAACACTATTTAATCACTCGAGCAATTTTTAACAGCCTTTTTTACCTCTCAAGCTATTTTTGAACAATAATTGATCTCTCGTGCAATTTTTGAACAAAATTTTAACAATTTATAACACTATTTCATCTCTTGAGCTATTTTTAAACAATATTTTATCTTTCGATAAATTTCCAACAGTATTCTATTTCTCAAGCAATTTTTAACAACTTTTTTTTATCCCTCGAGCAATGTTTGTACAATTTGAACACTATTTAATCACTCGAGCAATTTTTAACAGCCTTTTTTACCTTTCAAGTTATTTTTGAACAATATTTGATCTCGTGCAATTTTTGAACAAAATTTTAACAATTTCTAACACTATTTCATCTCTTGAGCAATTTTTGAAAAAGATTTTAATACCTTTTGATATTATTTTATCTCTCGAACAGTTTTTAAATCTTTTTTATCTCTTGAGCTATTTTTAAACAATATTTTATCTTTCGATAAATTTCCAAGAGTATTCTATCTCTCAAGCAATTTTTAACAACTTTTTTTATCCCTCGAGCAATGTTTGTACAATTTGAACACTATTTAATCACTAGAGCAATTTTTAACAGCCTTTTTTACCTTTCAAGCCATTTTTGAATAATTGATGTCTCATGCAATTTTTGAGCAAAATTTAAAAAAAAAGATTTAACACCTTTTGATAATATTTTATCTCTCGAACAGTTTTTAAACAATTTTAAACAAATTTCTAACAGTATTCTATCTCTCGAGCAATTTTTAACAACTTTTTTTATCCCTCGAGAAATGTTTGTACAAAATTTGTTGTACAATTTTTAACACTATTTAATCACTCGAACAATTTTTAACAGCTTTTTTACTTTTCAAGCTATTTTTGAACAATATTTGATCTCTCGTGCAATTTTTGAGCAAAATTTTAATAATTTTTAACACTATTTTATCTCTCGAGCAATTTTTATTAACATTACCTTTCTAACAATTTTTAAACAATGTTTTATCTCTTGAGAAATGTTTAACAGTATTTTTTAATTCTCGAGTAATTTTTGAATAAGATTTTAATGAATTATGATACTATTTTATCTCTCGAATAGTTTTTAAACCTTTTTTATCTCTTGAGCTATATTTTAACAATATTTTATCTTTCAATAAATTTCTAACATTTATTCTATCTCTCGAGCAATATTTAACAACTTTTTTATCTTTTTAGCAAGCTGCTCAATATTTTAACTCTCGACAAATTTATGAAAATATTTTAACTCTCGATACATTTTTAACAATGGTTTATATCTCGAGCAATGTTTGTACAATATTTTATCTCTCGAGCATTTTCTAATAGTATTTTATCGTTCGAGAAATTTTTAAACAATGTTATATCTCTTGAGAAATTTCTAGTAGTAGGTATCTCTTGAGTCTATTTTGAACAATATTTTATTTCTCAACAAATTTTTCAATAGTATTTTATTTCTCGAGCAATTTTTGAACAAGGGTTTAACAAATTGTAATACTATTTAATCTCTCGAAAAATTATTAAATATTTTTATCTCTCATTAAATTTCTAACAGTATTTTTATCCCTAGAGCAATTTTTGAACAATATTTTACCCCTCAAGCAATTTCTAATACTATTTTATACTTCGACCAATTTTTAACACCCTTTTTTACCTCTCAAGCCATTTTTGAACAATATTATTTGATCTCTCGTGCAAATTTTAAACAATGTTTTATCTCTCGAGAAATGTCTACTATTTTATATCTGAAGGAATTTTTAACAACTATTTTAATTTCTCTTGCAATTTTTGACCAATATATTTTACACTTCAAATGGAAACATACGCTGAAAAAAGTACTATATTTTGTTTCGAGTGAACTTGAGTACCAGATTCTCAGAGAATGTACTAGATCTAGTACAATTGTACTAGACTGGCAACACTGATCGGGATGGTAGAAACCCACCAAGTGGCCACTTTCCAAATATGAGACATCTAGAGACACCTCTTGGCGACTTTATTAACCTGTATGACTTTGACCTGAGATGCTGGGTATCGTTTTAGACATCCCCAGCGACAACCAGCAGGTTTTTAATGAGTTAATAACCCGCAAGACTTTGAGGAGCTGAGAAGATGGCTGTCTGTACCCAGACAGCACAAAGACATCTTTAAGACGTCCATAAGACGTCTGTCAGAGACATGACAGACATCTAAAATACGTCTTATGACGCCGGCCAGACGTCTTAAAGACATCTTTAAGACGTCTGATGTTACAAAAGGTAACGTTCTTAAGACATCTTAAATATGTCTGTTTTTCGAAATTGGTAAGACGTACTCTCGGATTTAGTTTTAAAAGCTTCTGTAAATTCCTTCTATACAAAATAAAACACATATTTTCTATAAACATTATTATTAACAAAACACTGAAACATTTCGTTAAAAAAGTAATATTACAAATTATTTTTTTTTATTCTTCCTCCGTTAGTGGTCAGATGCTCTTCTGAGCCAGCCTGGGTTGCAATAATTTTAACTACGCTGTGTAAAATATTATGCAATTATAGCTCACTCTGTCAAATTCGCTTTAATAGGATTTTCAATAAATAGTGTGGGTTAAGGGTGGTCAAAGAATGGCAATCTTCCTGTACTTTCAACTCTAATTCAGATATATACATCCGATGAAGCTTCTAAGACAGCTCTAGACGCCTAGACGTACTTAAAACACTAATAAGGGTTCTTCTATTTGGTTTTTCAGAATATGTAGTAAACTTTTATGCTTATAAATTCACAGTAATCGACGGCACAAGACACAAATAAAAAAAAATCAACGAATAACTAACAAAAACTAACCTCTCCCTCCGCTTTCATCTTCAATGACAACGAAAGGACAACGCAGAACGCCACGAACCACGGAACCCCAATAATACTCACATTCAAATACACGTCCTTGTTTAAATTCTACTGTTGAAAAAAGACAAAGCATAATAAAAACATTCGCTTCGATCGTTGGACCATGTTCCGGTCAAGGTGAAAGAGCGCGTAATTCAATTTGTCTTATGTTTTAATTGTTAATTTTATTTAGAGTTATATTTTTTATTATTATTATTTTTATGTTATCAAATATTTACTTACTCTAATGAACAAATGCTCGTGAATAAATAAAAAAATAAGTAAATTAATAAAAAAAATTAAAAATAAATTTGTATTTTGTGAAATTAGAAACGACAAGTAAGCCAGTACTTCTTTTAATGTTACCATTATTTTTTATATTTTTTAAATAGATAGGCATTCAAAAGACGTCTTTAAGACGTCTATTTATGTGTCCTAAAAGACGTCTTTATGAAGACGTCTTTACAACGTCTTTTTTAGGTCTTTAGGCGTTCAGTCATAACTACGACATAAAACAGACGTCTTTAAGATGTCGTGTGCTGTCTGGGTAGACACCTCTCAGCGTCAATCATCAGGTTTTTGACGAATTGATAACATGCAGAACTTTGATGAGCTGCGAAGATAGCTGTCTCTAGACTGTTCTTACCGGCAACCAGCAGGTTTTGACAAGTTAAGAGGCATGTTCTATATGCTGCTGGAGGATGCACAATGGGCCTTATGAGGGAGCAACCCACCCTTCCCCACCTTATAGATACCTAATTTTAAAATGGAATATAGCAGATCTTGTGGAAGGCGTAAGGTATCAAGAACTGTTTCAAAATAAATATATTATACCAATTACCACTAATTTGTTTTTTTTTTACTTACTCTGTTTGGTCATGGTCGGCTGGAAACGGACTACAATTTTCAGGTATTGGACTAGGTTCGGGTTCCTCTTGAAGAGGTGATTCAAATATAAGCGTTTCTACCATTGATCCCTTAGAACTACCAAAAGACACCCTGAAACAAACAGAAAAAAATGTTAATTCAAATTTAGCAAATGTTGTCAAGTAAAATTATTAGTATTTGTTGAAAAATTGGAAATTGTCTTTCACCTAGTTTGGATTCGAAATCTTATATTCAAATTAACAATTTGGATGTGGGAGATTTAATGTCCCGATGGGTAAATGGTTAAGGTGGTTTATTTATTTAAAACACTTTATTTATAACGTACTTATTAATTTATATAATACTTAAGCACTATTATAACAATTTATATTTTCTATCCAACACTTAAATTAAACCTTCCCGTCCATCGACAAACTCGCGTTATTTATATAAAGCCAGCTCTGTACCAGAACACTCTCGGCTGAAAAAGATGATTTTTAAATTAAAGAAAATGATCAAAGAATGGAAAATAAGAGACAAAGGACTGAAAATAATAAATCATAAATAGTATAGCCGAATCGTGTAATGTTTCTGAAACTCCAGTAAAACCGAAAACCAAATTAAGAAAACAGTTCCAAACGAATTTATATGAAAACGAAGAAGGGGATCCAGAATTTAATGTGTCTTATATAAATAATTTAAAGGTCAGAGACTATATGATTGTATCATGTAATGATGATGACAAACGATATCCTGAAATAATAAAAAATATTGTCCATCAAGAATACGAAGTCAGTGTAACAAATTAATCATCAAATAATACTTGGAAGTGGCCAATTCATGCAGACCCAATTTGGCACGAAAGAGGCCAGATTAAGAAGAAAATTTGTGAAAAAATATCGTATAATTCTGGTATTTATTTATGTATAGTGTTGAAATGTAGACGTGAAACCTTACATAAATATGTAAACATATTTTCGATTTTTATAAAGGTGATAGTACAATTAAATATGTTTCAATATTTTTCTAGATATTTAATATAAATTAAAGAAGTCTAAAACATTTATTTTTCAAATACTTTTTTAATAAGTATTGCGTGGTTTAAAATCAATACACTCCTTATTTGTTCATGTATGTATGATGTATATTAATACTTATTTTTATAATCCTCATAATTCTGTCTGGTTAAATAAACGTAAGTACCTATATAAATAGAATATGTACCTACAGGTGTGAATATGAATATATCCCGAGTACGTTGATTTAACAACCACAAGATCGATAAACTTGACCATGACGGTAACAACAAATTCGCGTGTTGTTAATATTTAGCCAGTGGACAAACACCTGTACCTGTATAATACACCTCCGTATAGTTCGTACGCGTGAAATCAATTAAAAACGCTCTTCCTGTTGTTTGTGTCTCTCGAGCGTACTCTTAAACTTTCAGTCGTAATTAATGTGGTTCTGCCACAAAATAATGGCTCACTAAAGCCGCGCTCTATGTACATAAGCTTCAATTTATGAGGTGCAAGGTCAGGAATTGATTTTTTTTCCTTTGTCTCTACAGTTCGCATTAGACCGATATTTTTTATGATTCTTGGAATTTGTTTTATTTTCCGTTTACCTGTTTTTCGATCGTATAAAATTGAATACGTCTAAGTGGCTGGAGTTTTATTAAATGTATCATAAATGTATAATTGATGTATCTTGTCATTATCGAGATTTGCCATTGGCTGTCACAACACTTTCTAATCTTCTTGGAGTGAATAAAATTAAATGTCGCAAGTCGTAGGAATCTACGAGCTCTTGTCAATAACTTCCCATAATTAAAGTCTCTTTGATACCTACATCTTTTTGACTATTAAGCCCTATACATTTTCAACGGGGTTCAAGTCAGAACTTTTTGCTGACCATGGCAATCATTTATCTTGTTGTTGACTCAGTCTCTTACTTACTATTCGAGCCGTATGAACTGAAGAGGAATTTTTGGTCGCCGCAGTCAGTTTTACCCAAGTTTAATCCTTTCGCTATTCGAGGTGCCACTTGGTCTCCAAAGCTGGATTAAGGGTTCCAAGAAAATTATGGGGTTATTTTATTGGACACACGCGAATTCCGCTACCGGTTAAGGGTATCACTAGGTAGGCATTCGAACTGGCATGGAAACCCAAAACATATTTTAATAAAATAATCCTCTACCTGAACTCCGCTACGGTCAACATTCAGAACAATAAAATAAAAATACTATGATTTTACAAGAATTTTTATTTTATTAAAGAAATACAATTATAATAGGTAATGTGGCAGTTATAAAAAAAAATACAAATACGTAAATCAAGTCTAACTTAACTGATTCAACAAAAAAAGTATAAATTTGAAATTTCCCATTATTACGGTATTACAACAAAAGATAATTTATATGATACACATTTTATAAATTCTAGGCGAGTTATTTTATTTTGAAGGTAATGATCGATTTTGTCCTGAATAAATCGTTGTTTAAACAATATTTTTTTACGAATGGGTCTTGCTTGATTTATTTTGGCAGTATTAATTTTAATATATGTGTCCGTCTGCATATTTGTCACTGCTGCTATAAAAATGTGTATGTTTGGGTGTGGATGGCCACAATACGAATTAAATTTTGAGTGAAATAATTCACAGGTATTTGTTCGGCAAAAAGAGGCAGTGTTAGAAGCCCATATAGAAGGAGGAAAAGTAGATTCTTCATCAATATATGTATCTACCAAATAATCTGCAAATTTTGTAACCTTCTCACAAACTAGTTGTTTCGAAGCAAAGTTAATTGCGAACGTATCTCCAACTTCCTCAGGATTTAAAAATGTGAGCCCAAACAAATGACGTAGCCATTTTCGAGTATGAAAATCAACGTCTTTGTATTCTGTAGCTAGACCCTCTTGTTGAATCTTTCTCCACCCAGAAATCCCAAAAAATCATAACAAATAAAAATATCGCGACGAACTGAGAACCTCCTCCTTTTTTGAAGTCGGTTAAAAATGACATTATATGACTAATTTATTCCTCAAAAAAGTAGGTAGGTACTGCCAAATTTTTCAAAACAAAAAAAAATATAATTTTTTTTAGCAATGGATAAAAACTTACCATGATTGAATGAGGTGGAATCTACATCCAACAACTTCTGTCTCTGGAAAACATTCTCGTAAACTTGAATGGATGGCCATCTCAAAGTCTACAACAACAGTTTTAGGGTGTAACATATTACCGCTTTGAATAGAACATTCCTGAAGTAAATGAAAAAGTTGCGTGTACTTATTTCGTATCTTATTCGGTAGCAAGCAAAAGACAACAGGCACATAAATGTCATTGAAATAGGCATGGATTGTAAATAATTGCAGGAAGTAATTTGTGCAAAAATCAAATGTTCCATCCATGAATAATGTCTCTTGTTCACACAAAAATTTTATATTTTTCTCGCACGAAAACACCACGATATTGTCTTCCCTATTATTGACAAGTAAAAAAATTTCCTCTAAAGTAGTATGAATTTTAATTGAGTCCAGGAAGTCGTGAACCTCTGTTATGGAATGCGGCAACTTTGGAATTAATTTAAGTTTGGTATAACTTTTGTTATTTCGAATACACTTTACGTCTTTAGATGTTAATGTTTCGACTGCTGATTTTTGATAATTTAATTCCATGTGAATAAGTTTTGAAGGCTTTTCAGAAACAAGTGCATCATCGCATATTTTTCGTTTTAAACTATTATTAACTTTCTGACGATTTAAGCCATTAACAGGAATTAAGTTGTGATTGTGATATCCACTTATTTTCGAGAAGATGTCATCAGCTTCACCCACAGTATACAGCTTCATAGTGCACTCTTTTTCAATGCATCTCCAACACATTTCTCCTGTACTTTTCACTTGCCGATATTTATAAAATGTATGTCCTTCATATAATATTAAAGGTTTACCACGTTCACTTAACATTTTATTCATTATCACAAGTCGCGTATCTTTAACAATTGGTCACAAACTACAAACTAAATGTTATTGAAAACAGAAATTATATATAGGAAGATTTTGTTTAAATTGGTATAATAAGGTTTTAACACTATTGTGGTATTTATACCATTAAGATTGGGATTTAAGTAATTAATTAATCTTTGTGTGTAAATTATTATTACATAGGTACATAGGCTTTTGTATATTACAAATAAATAAGAATAGTTCCAGATATTTCAACTGTTAACAATAAAATGTAATACCTTGGTGATTGTTCTAGGAGGTGAAAATATTTACTAAAAATAAATTATTTCTACAATCTAAAATTATAAAATTATCGTCTCCCTAACGACCTTAGCCTTTGTAGCGGAATTCGGTGAGGAGATTAAATATCTTCCAGCCCCCAAAACAGATTAACCTGACCGTAGCGGAATTCGGGTGCACCAATTTTATTACTCTAATACTAATATCGGTTTGTGACCTGTGGAGAACCAAAATAAAAATATTTTTCATCAGTTAATTGTCTGCATTCTTATACTGAATAGATTAATTTTTTATTTGAAAAGTGATTCTCATCTTATTCATTATTCCATAAAAGAAGTTTTGAGTTTGTGTTGCAATGGAGTCGATGTTAAGTGTAAAAGGAAAAAAGTTGTTAATTGTAAAAAAATATACATTTGGAAGACAAGGAAACAAATTTCAAGCGATTGACCGGTTCCACCGGTAACAATTTAAAATTACTTATTACCTACTTATTCTATGAAACGACACTGGCAGGTAAACATTACTGCGAAATTCTCGAAGTCGTCTGACGTGGTTTGACGTTTACCCTCTCTCTACCTACCAAAAGCCTTTCCAACTTCTACTTTCGCTATACAACCACTATGTAACGGTAGCGCTTTATAGGAAACCAAAGCTTTATCTTTTGTCTATTATGCAGTGGGTGCCTCGTATGTATAAATTTTACACATAATTTGGAGCTAACTGTCTGTTTAAGCAAACCTAAAAAAACTAGATATTTGTTTCATTTATAAGTTAAAAATATGATTACCAATTCATAGTGTAAAAACAAAATAAGTTTTTTCATATTTTGACTCGAGGTATTCGACCTTGCCTTAAATACTTAAACCTTGTTTTTAAATAACC